CTCCTGAAATACCGTATGAAACAAGAGGCACAGGAAAAAAAAAAAAAACGAAAAAAAAAACCAAAGAACTGAAAAACCACTCCATCTGTGCCTTGTAATCAAGTTAGCAAGTGATATGCTTGGGTTTTAAACCTTTTACATGGATTGGAACAAAATACATTGTTTTGGAAACCAGGCCATTGTATATATGGAATTGTGTGCCATTTGAAGTATGAAGGTGTTTAACTTCCTGCCACCTTTTTCCCTGCACCAGAAGTCTTACTGATTTTAGTCATCTGCATTTGCAAGAAGCTAGCAAGGAGCAGTAGCATTCTGGACATAACTAGTGACTTTCTGTCACTTTTTGCCTACAATTTGCAAAGCATTTTCTGAACCCTGTGGATAAGAGTAAATGAGATTAGACTGAAGCTGAAACTCATTACAAATGCACTAGAAAATCCAGTCAGGATTCAGCTTGTTCTTCTGTGGGTTGAACTGTGAAAAATCAAGAAGTAAATCCTGCTAGAGATTCAGAGAGTAAGTGTGTCACTAGTCTTTAACTGACTTGAAAGAAGAGCAAATATTACCCACAGATTTATTTTGTAATATTAAAATTATTTTTCTTCAACTGAAGAGAATCTTTTAAAGATTGAAATTCTAGAAACTTGACATTTTTCTGTCAGTAATTTGTGTGTTTGTAGAGTGCTTATTGTTATCAACATCCTTGGTTTTCAAATATTTAATTTGTGTTCACTGGATTAGTTTGGGAATTATACAGAAGCTGTTCATCTAAATTTCACATGATAGGAGACTGACTTAAAAGTTCCTGGAGAAATAATAATGGCTTGAGCAAATATCATGTATGATCTCTGTGGTGCCACATATACCAGCTTAGTAATGATCAAAAATCCTCAGCGGAAGTGTTTTTTTACTGATTGGTGTGAACTGACTGGCATTCTCAGGCCCTGGAGTTTCTGCTTGTTGCCCCCTGGTTCATGGATTTCACATAAAGATGTGAAGACATGTGTAGATGTGTAAGCTTTTCTTACATCCAGAAGTGATCTGCGACATTTTGTTAATGCAGAGATAAAGGTGTAACACTTTTTCTTGTGGGTTTTTGATCTCCAGAGGAAATGATACATCGCCAATACCAGAATCACAAGAAAAGAAGGTGAAGAGTTTTCGCTGTATTAAGAGGTTGTTCCAAAACTGGAAAGAAAAAGCAGAATATAAACTTCTAAATCAATATCTAGATGAATAATTCATATAAGGAATCCTAAGTAGTTGGATTTTTACTGTTCCCTCTGAAAAGAATCAGTAGTTTAGGGACTGTGGAATGGGTGAGGATTTTTTTTTAAGGTGGCAGAGAAAGTATTTGATTATCCATGGATTATATCTAGTATAGGAAAGGAGGTGTCAGGATATTATTAGGACTGTATTATGAAGCAGCTGCATGAAAAGGAAACTAAAGTTTCTAACAGTGTACAGCAGAAACCAATGTAGCTAGTATTTGAGCTGCAGCAAGCCTCTTCAAATACATTTCTTACATGCAATCAAAGAAAGAGATAAAACCTGTTTGATAAATCTAGTAGCCCTTTTCCATATAGCTTCTTCAGTATTTTCTGTTTTCCTTCCAAAAGCATCATCATGTGATCAAGAACTTCAGTCAGCCCTGGAGGAAGCCAAACAGCCCCAGAAAGACAATGTGTTCATTCCAGAGTGTGCTCAGGGTGGCCTCTACAAACCAGTGCAGTGCCATCCTTCCACGGGCTACTGCTGGTGTGTTCTGGTGGATACGGGACGTCCCATCCCTGGTACATCAACCAGGTAAGGGAATACATGTTCAGTGCTCAGAAGTTGTAGTGAGAAGATGCCTTATTGTGCATGTACTAGCATCCAGATTTCTATTGCTGGTGGAATTCTATCCTATAGGTTTTTTCCACTATGAAGATGAAGTGAAATATTTCTAAGAGCCATCAAAGACCAGATAGCCAAAGACTGTTTCCCTGCAACGTCACAGGCGGTTTGCTCCCTGAGTCCTCTTTATTACTTTCTATTTTGTGCTGGGAAGCCAAAGCTTGGAGCAGATAATGAATAAGCCCAGAGGAAACCTCACACTCCTTAGTCTGAATATAGCAGAACCAAGTAAGATGGTCTGTGACAGAAACCACGTCCAACCTCAGAAATGTTCAGTTATTTTTCCAGCAACCTCCTCAAATATTTCATATGACTGGTTTTGATGGAACAACTGCTTGGGAACCCATAGAGAGGAAATATCATTTTAGTGTGTTATTAATAGAAGCCTGGAGTTCAGTCATCTCAGCTGAGCTGGATGCATGGTAAAGTGTTGTTAGCCACATAGAGCAGATGTAGGCAAGGCAAGTATCAGGTTCCAAAAGATGTTATTTAGGCTGGTTATGGAGGTTTGGCCCTTGAAGGAATTCTATAGAAGCTCATATAAAGCTGGCGGGCAGTATGGGTATCTTGATGCAATCATAAATCTTTCCAAGCTTAAGCCAAAATAATTTTTTATCATTTCCATAAGGTTTGTAAAAAAAAACATTATAAGCCACTTGCTGTAAAGTATTATATTCGTGGGGAGTGCTTTTCACATACTCTTCAAGTGCTGATTTACTGATAACTGTTTATACCATAGTCTAGACCATACCAATTACAGTACCAGCTGAAGTGAGCATGACTTAAAGTTACTGTTGATCTGCTGTTTCTTGCAAGTTGAGATCCATAAACTGTCAAAACATGTCAAAATAGTCCACATTTGGTCCTGAAACTGTAGGATCAGTACACATGTTGTGTGAGGACCTAGAGATGTCCTCTAGAGATTCCAGAGGCTCCCTTTTCTGCTCTTGCTCTGTTCTCAACCTCTAGGTTTATTCACTGTTTCTTGGGTTTAGTGCTAATACTTCTTTGCATTATAGTTTAAATCATTTTATGGAGCCCTAGTTCCCATTCTCTAATTGGAGTCCAAATCATCATTTTGTGCTCATCAAGCAATAGGGCTTCTGCTGATTTTTTTTTTTTTAGTTGTTCTTTATGAGTATCATTTTATAACAGAATCACAGAATAGTTGAGATTGGCAGGGATCTCTGAAGATTCTCTAGTCGAACCCCTCTACTCAAAGCTAGGTCAGCTAGAGTAGATTGCTCAGGACCATATCCAGTTGGGCTTTGAGTGTCTCTAAGGATGGAGAGTCCACAGCCCCTCTGGGCAGCCTGTTCTAGTATTTAATCGTCATCACAGTTAAAAAAAGCTTTTTCTTAGGTTTAAATTAAATTTCCTGTATTTCATTTTGTGCCCATTGCATCTTTTCCTGTCACTGGGTATGACTGAGAAGAGTCTGACTCTGTTTTCTTTATTTTCCACCCTTTGGATATTTATAGACATCAATAAGATCCTCCCTGAGCTTTCTCTTCCCCAGGGTGAACAGTCCCAGTTCTCTCTCTCTTTCCTTATTATGTCAAATGCTCCAGTTGCTGAATCATATTTATGGCCTTTTGCTAGACCCGCTACAGTATGTCCATGCCTCTCTTATTTGGGGATCCCAGAGCTGGGCCCAGCACTTCAGATATATCTCACTGGTGCAGAGGAGAGGGGAAGGATCACCTCCCTTAACCTGCTGGCAATACTCTTCCTAATGCAGCCCAGGAGGTTGTTGGCCTTCTTTGCTGCAAGGGCACATTGCTCCCTCATACTCATCTTAGTGTCCATCAGAAATCCTAGGCTCGCAAAGTTGCTTTCCAGTTGGTTGTTGCCCATCCTGTTGTGGTGCAGGGGGTTAATCTTTCCCAGGTGTGAGGCTTTTGCATTTGCCTTTTTTGAACTTTATGAGATTCCTCTCAGCCCATTTTTCCAGCCTGTTAAGGTCCCTCTGAATGGCAGCACAACCCTCTGGTATATCAGCCACTCCTCCCAATTTTGTATCATCTGCAAACTTGCTAAAATTGTTCTCTGTCCCAGAATCCTGGTTATTAAGAAGTTAAACAATATTGACTGTAGTATTGAACTCTGCAGCACTCCACTGGTCACTGGTTTCCAGCTGAAATTTTTTTGCTGCTGATCACAACTCTTTGAGACTGACAGTTCAGCTAGTTTTCAACACACCTCAACTGTTCATTTATTGTTCATTTATCTAACCCATACTTCATCAGTTTGCCTATGAGAATGTAATCAGAGACAATGTCAAAAGCATTGCTAAAATTAAGATAAACAGTATTTTCTGCTCTCCGCTCATCCACTGAGCAAATCATCTCATAATAGAAAGCTGCAGGCTTGGCCAAGCATGATTTCCTCCTCATAAATCCATACTGACTACTCCCAATCACTTTCTTGTCCTTCATATGTTTTGAAAGAGCTTCTAGGAGGATTTGCTTCATCACCTTCCCAGGAATTGATATAAGGCTGACTGGCTTGTTATTCAGCTCCTGCTTGCCCTTCTTGAAGGTAGAAGTGATGTTTACTTTCTTCCCGTCCCGAGGAACCTCCCCCAGTCACCAAATATAATTGAGAGTGGCCTCACAATGACATCAGCCAGCTCCCTCAGCACTTGTAGATGCATCCCATGAAGTCCCATGGATTGTTTGTTCAAACGATCCCTGACTTGATCCTCCTCCACCGAGGGTTAGTAGTCCTTGCTCCAGACTTTACTAGTGGTCTCAGGGACATGCGATTCCTAAAGAGTGGTTTTACATGTAAAGACAGAGGAGAAGGCGGCATTGAGTATTACTGCCTTCTCCATGTCCTTCACCACAAGGTCCCCTGTCCCACCCAGCAGCAGGCCCACATTTTCCCTAGTCTTTTTGCTGCTGATGTGTGTGTAAGTTTCGGTCATGAAACTGCAGGTGGTGATCCTTGAAATTCAACCAGCTCTCTTATTCATATTTGTACTGTGCATGCAGTGCATATGATTTGGCTTCTACTGGCACACCATCTGGAATTCTAAGTCTTCCCAATACCTTGGTGAATCACCTATGGATCTAGAATCAGTCTCTGTCATCTTCTTTTCCTGTTTGGGCTGCCAGCCTTTTGTGTTCTGCAACTACCCAGTAACTCAGCTGCTGGAGAAGAGGTGGCAGGGAATGTTTTCACTGTGCTGCCTGTCTCCAAAGTTGGAAGGCTGGCAAGTTGGATTCGATCTCATGTGTATGATTTAGACACAAGTCTTACTTTTGCTCGATGAGTGCTCTGCCTAATGCCTAGTACTCAAAAGGTCAGCTGCTGTGGTCTTGACCATTTCTAATTTGTTCAGCTTTGCTGGACTTATGAGGAGTCGTCAATGGAGCTCTGATGAAGTAATATTTCATAATATCCTCAGAGAGAACATTTCTGAGCACAGATGGGTAAGTGGAGTACTCAATTTTAGGAGTTTCATACTAAATAAAGAATGACTAGTGTATTTAGGAATCTACAGTCCTGGTAAACAAGCAGGTGGGATTACTGCCTGGAGTTTAAGAGGAGTGTCTAGGCCTCATTTCTCGGAAAGATTTAGGTGGGCTGGAATCCCATTAATTATTTATTTTTTATTATTTTTTTTTCTATGTTGATGAAATTAAACTTTTTTTCCCTAGCAGAGGGAAGTAAAAAAGGGATCAGAATATGATGAGAAATATGCAGTTGTCTTTTTGTAATTATTTTTATAGAATGGAAAGGGTGAACATGTGAATCTTTCATAAAGAACCAGGTGCTCATGCAAAATGGTGTATGCTATCTTCTAGTTTTCCACTGCAAAATACAAATTAGAAGGGTAGCTGTTAAAACTCTGCTGTGGGCAATGACAATGTTAGGAGTCCTGGTAGCAAGATGGATGCATTGCATCCTGGAATCTCTGTTCTGCAAATCTGGATCTAATCACTAGGGAACAACAGTGAAAGGATAGAAGGATCTGGGGAGCTGTCGCCAGAACAGCTTAGCATTTTGCATGTTGTTTGTTTTGAATACATTCGTGAGGATTAAACTTGTCATATCATCAGGCTACGAATACAACAATAAATAGTAGTCCCATTAAATTAGACCTTCAAAATGAAGGGAAGTTATTAATACTCATTGACCTTCTAATTCCCTGTCATCTGAAGCAAAGATAATTCATTTGTCAGCGAGGGTATTCTAGAAAAAATATATAATTCTAGAGTTAAAATAAAGATACGTGAGTGAAGCACCACTCTAGGACATTTAAGACAGTAAAACTTACAAGAAATATGCAAAGTTGTGGTATAAAGCTAGCTTTTATGAAAGCCTTGAGGAAAGATCCATTTGACTTGAAGGAGGTAATGCATTTAAAGGGTCTAAAACCATTCCCCTGAAAGTCTATCGGTATGGTCCTTGCCAGCTGGCTACTGATGCCTCCTCGACAACGCAGCGTGATGCTCAGCCTTTTTGCTCAGCAGGGCTATAATTCTGTGTTCTCACATGTGACTTTGTAGCAACTAGGATCATGGGCAAAGTAATGCCCAATCCACTTGCACAAGATTCTTCAAACTTAAAAAAACCCCATATATCAGCTGCTTCATGAGGCTGCCCACACTAGAATTCTTGTGAAACTCTCCATCCTCCACTGCTCTGTACACCTCAGTAAATCTCAGTGCCTTCCAGCAGGCTGCTCAGAGGTATAAAACAGCCTTCATAAGCTCTTGACGACTCTAGATATACCTTCACTGCTAGGGATTCTTTCCCTTTTAAAATTCAAAAGCGTAACTTGGGATGTCTTTTGACTACATTATTTTTAACTTGACAGTGCTCCATTCTGACATGCTATCTCT